CCCCTATGTACTCCACATGTAGCCCAGGCTTGCCTTGAACTCACAATCCTCGTGCCTCAGCCTCCCAAATGCTGGGATTAGACGAATACCATTGTGAACAGCTTACCCTGTATGCTTTCTCAACCCAGCTCCAGTTTCCCAAGGCCAGTCACAAGGCCTAATGTGTAGTAGGTACCAACAACCCCTGTCAGCCTCACAGGGCTGGTCCCAAGGACCAAAACACGAAACACACAAGCAGCCAGCAGGCCTTTCATGCTCCACCTCCCCAAAAGAGGAAGGCAGGAGAAAAATTAATGGAGCTGGGCATGATGGCACATGCCTTTAATCCCAGCACACTCGAAAGGCAGAGGCAGGCAGATCTCTGTGAGTTAGGCCAGTCTGGTCTACATAGTGAGTTCCTGTACGGACAGCCAGACCCTGTCTCCATTAAAAAAAAAAGAAAATGAGAGAAAGAGAGAGAGAGAGAGAGAGAGAGAGAGAGAGAGAGAAAAGGAAAGGAAAAGGGAAAAGGAAAGCAAAGCAAAGGAAAGGAAAGGAAAGGAAAGAATGAATGAAGATAATTTACAGCAGTTAGGTTTGGCCCACAGTCAGAATGAAGGTGTATGGGAGGCACCTGGCTCTGACCGGCAAGGAGCAAAGGAGCAGTTTTAGACCAGTGCACTTCAGCCAAGTCAAAATTCATTGGATCCAGACATGGTAGCACATTAATGCTTTTAGTCACAATATTCTGGAGGCAGAGACAGGCAGATCTCTGTGAATTTAAGACCAGCCTGGTCTACAGTGCGAGTTGTAGGCCAGCCAGGATTTCACAATGAGACCCTGTCTTAAAACAACAACAAAACCCACAACACACCTTACTGGAATGTCACTATCAGTGGTCCAAAGTCCAGTTCCTAGTGATACACAGAGGCAGCAGTCTGGAGTGTTAAGAGCTCAGCTCTGGGCTTGCACCAAATACCAGGGCTGTCATTTTCTACTTGAGATCTGAATAGCTACAGAAGTCTCTCTGTGCTTCAGGCCTTAACGGGCCTGTTTCTCATAGCCCTGTAATAGGGGGCTGGGACCCTGAAAGTAAAAGGGACAGTACCTACCACAGGATATGCTCTCAAGTGTTCAAAAACAGCTGAGTGCTGGCAAGATGACTCAGTGGGTAAGGGCACTGGCTGCCAAACCGGATGACCCTAGTTCAATCCCCAGGTCCTATACGGTGGGAGTCAAGAACCCACTCCCACAAGCTATCCTCTGATCTCTACACATATGCAGTTGCTATAGGTGTACACACACACACAATAAATACATGCTAAAGAATTTTTTAAAAATTGTTGCAGTGGGGTTTGCCTGAAACTACAGCACTCCTGGGAGTCTGAGGCAAAAGGAAGGAGAGTTCTAGGCCAGCCTGGAACAGTAAGTTCCAGGCCAACTACATAATAAGATAATAGTGTCTCAAAAAACTTTTTTTTTTTTTTGGTAAATTATACATGTTATAGTGCCAAAGTAACCACTGGTGGCATAAAAACATAATAGGCCTGACAAAGAGAATGTTCACGGCAATATCTTCATCATGTCCTCAAATTCTGACATGCTCTCCTGGGTGAGGAGGAAAAAAAAAATCAGTGGCTGAAGAGTGGGGGAGCCTATCCTTTTTCCCTTCTTTTTTTTTTTTTTGTTGTTGTTGTTGCTGTTGTTGTTTTTTGGAGACAAAGTTTCTCTGTGTAGCCATCCTAGAATTCCATCTAGGCTGGCCTCGAACTCATAGAGGATAGCCTGCTGGAATTAAAGGTGTGGGCCGCCACCACCACCACCACCACCACCACCACCACCACCAGGCAGAAGCTTATCTTTTTAAAGCTAGATGCTAAAACATAACAAACCTTTATCAGTTACCTATAAAAAAATGAATTCTGTGATGTACTAAGGATAAGCAGGCAGTTACTAGAGGCAATAAGAAAGCCAGGAGCTCTGGGCGAGCTGACACACGCCTTTAACCCCAGCACTCTGGAGGCAGAGGCAGGTGGAGCTCTGTGAATTCAAGGCCAGCCTGGTCTACAAAGTTTAGATCCAGGACAGCCAGGGCAACACAGCAAAAGAGTATATGTGTGTGTGTGGGGGGGGGGGGGGGGGGGGACACGACAAGAGCAAAGCTTTACAACAGGTGCAGGCACCTCAGCCTGGCTTATATCCCATTCCAATCCAATGACCTATGCTAGTGCCTTTTCTTTCTTCGAGACAGGGTTTCACCTAGCCCAAGTTGGCCTTCAACTTACTATGTAGTTAATGATGACCTTGAATTTCTGATTCTCCTAGTTCCACCTCCAAAGTGCTGAAATTTTAGGTATGAAATACCACCTGGTTATACAGTGCTGAGGACAGAACCTGGAGCCTCCTGTAAACTAGGCAAGCGCTCTACCAACTCAGCGACATCCTCAGCCATCATGTCTTGAGCAACACAACATGTCCCTGGGAAGTACAAGGAAACTCAAACTCAAGCAGCACCAGACAGGCTCCGGGCCTCCTGCATGCATCACTGTACCAGCACCGTTGGAAGGTGCCAGGCCCAAGGGGTATGGGGCAAAGGACAGAGAAGCAGGGATGAGGGGTAGGGGCTCACCCTGGATGGTCCTCTTGAAGAAGGCCTTGCAGGCCTCACAGGATGCCACACCGTAGTGGTAGCCCGAGGCCACATCCCCACAGACCAGGCAGAGGCGTTTGGGCAGAGAGCTGAGCACTAGCTTCCCGCTGCCCTGCTCACCAGACCCTGCACCCTCCCCATCCTCCTCCTCCTTGTGCCCTGGAAGGCAGCGTGCTGGAGCTGGACCCGGAGCCAGGGTCACCGGCGGTTCAGTCTCAGTCTCTGAGGAACCCTTTGGACTGTCAGGGCTGGCTGGCTCTGCTTTGATGTAGAGAGGCTCGATGCCCACCACCTGGCTGGACATGATGCTGGTCACCTGCAGGGAAAGACCATCAGGGTCACAGGGAGGCACTCTGCCACATGGGTTGGGCAACACTGGGCCTGGGCCAAGCTTCCAGGCTAAGCCAAGGAGAGGGAGGAGGCAGAGTCCAAGGAAGGGCTGCCCATGAAGAGGGCCCCCAGCTGTCACCATGGGAACAGAGTCTCCAGAGCCTCTGGGGCCAGTTAACTGACAGCAGGTCCTCCTCTTGGGAACCTGGGAGAGGCTTGGCAAGTCTAGCTCCCACCCAAGCCAGGAAGCAGGGTGATTTCAACCTGCAGGCAACTCTCAACCCCCAAACATAATACCTCTCCTCAGTTTTCTCCAGATGTTGGGAGGGCTGCATTTAAGTATTGAATCTTCAAGAGCATACTTAGGAACACAGCGGGGGACGGGCGGGGGCGGACGGACGGACGGGAGGGGTGTTTAGCCACTCTCTCTGGAGTTTCCACATGTCCACACATGCTCACTCTCCTGAGGACCTTCACACTCACACATGGCCCATAACCAGTCCCAGCTCTTACATACTCCCAGCAAAAGGGCACACTCAACAAGCAAACTCACACAAGTTTTAAATCATACTCTCTCTCTCCAGACTCTTGTGAGAGAACCTCTCACCTCTGACACGCCACCCCCTCCTGCCTTAGCAAGCCCATTCCAGCCACGCCGTGTAGGGCGCGGCTCCACCTCTTTTGCACCCCAGGCCTGCACGGTTCATTCTTACACTCCAGCTGCCGCAGAGTACACCACCTCTCGCGACTCCCGGGGCGCTCCCACCCCCACCCCCCTGCTCCGGGGCCACCCCCTTTAACCTGCGCACACCTATGGGAAGTTGCCTGAAGTTACTTGTCCCCCCCTCCCCCACTACCCGCGGGGGACTTCTATCAGGTTATCAGGAAGTAAGAAGAGGCGACAAGGAAGAAGTTCTCCCCCGCGCTGCGATGACCTATGACCCAGAGAGGAGGGTGGCCCAAAGCCCCTGCAAGCGCCCCCACGTGGCCTCTAGGGCCCCTTTCAACACCAGCCCACGGCGAAGACTCCCGCAATGCTCAAGTGTCGAGCTCAACGCTGCCCGGAGGCTCTCTCCAAGGCCCGAGAATAACCCGGGGCCAAGACCCGTCCTGACCCGGCCGCCGCACCGGGCGCGACCCCGCCCGCAACCCGCCCCCCGCCCGCGCTCGCACATGGCCCCCGCCGCGCCCGCCCACCCCCGCGGCCGCGCTCCCCTCCGCCCCCACACCTGGGGCTCCGACAAGGCTGGCGGGCAGGCATGGGGGCCGAGCGGCCCGGAGAGCCGGGATGAGCAGGGGCCGCCTCCTCCGGCCGCGCCGCCCCGCTGCGCTGCGTCCCCCTCACTCGGCGGCGCCGCTGGCTGCTTGTAGGACACAAAAGGACATCGCGGCCGCTTCCTACTCCGCTTCCTCCAGCTGACAGCGGAGGCGGGGTCGGCCGTGCGCATGCAAAGCAGGGGGCGGGGCCAGGTGCCTTATGCTAATCAACCTAGAGAAGCGGGCGGCGCCTGCGTACCCGGAGGCAAGTGGGCGGGCTTTAGTGACACACACGCGTGCGCGGCCGCCCTGAGGGCGGGGCCTGAGCCTAGGCTAGGCACGAGGACTCGGAGCCGGAGCGGGGAGGAGCCGGAGCGCCCTTGCGTCCTGGAGGTGGGCGGAGCCCCGCCTTACAGGAGTGGGCGTAGCCACTCCGAGGACTCTGTGCAGGCGGTGAACATGTATGTAAATGAGGGGGCGGGGTCGTGTGTCTGCATATGCATAAGGATAAGGGGTGGGGCCTAACGGGGGGGGCGCTGACACCCCCCCCCCATAATGTTGATGGGACACTTGACGCTGACTTGGTAGACCAGCACACCTACGGACCCTCGGGTAGGAGCAGCAGACCTAAAACATGCAAGTATTCTGGTTTGTGAGTTCCTGGAAGGTAGTGCTGGTGAGACTCGGGCGGAGAAAACTCAAGGTCACTGCGGTGACCGAATGAAGGTCACGGGGAAAGGCGGGGCCACGTGCGTCCGCCTCACGCAAGCAGCCACGCACTGACTCGGGAACCATGCATAGACTCTTTAATTTCTCTAGGGCTCAAATTCCATGCAGACGGGGTCGAGCTTGGGTCCAGGGAACAGGACAGGGCACGGGGCTGCTGTCTGGTCGGCCACTTGAGCTGGAGGTTCACTGAGGCATCAAGTTCAGCCTCTTGTTCCGGCGCTTCTTGAGCCCCTCGATGTATCCCTGCAGCTCTTTAGTCATGAAGTGGCCCCTGCCAATCGTGGCCTTATATGCTACGAAGAGGGCAGAGCTGAGGGCAGGGCCGTGAGCCATGGCAAAGCTTTCCCCCAGTAGGCACCACCAGTGTGATTCGAGGAACCACAGATGACTCGAGGTGGCAGTTAATGCTGGATTTGGATCTGTGTTAGTTTGGGGGTTTTGGATCACCAAGGTACGATGTGTTACGGTGAAGAATGGAGGTGATGAAGGCTGAAGATGCTGTAAGCCTGAACCAGGGCTGTGAGCACAGGCCCTCCTCCTGGGCCACCCACTCTAACTAGTCATCTGGCCCTTTTTTCCCCTCTGGATGTTCCTATATCGTGAACAGAAAGTTAGCCAAATAATCCAATATCCAATAACTTCCCCCAAATAATCCAGACGTGTCACCGCTCCCTCACCTGGGAGTGAAGCAAAGCTACACAAAGGCAGTCTGTCATTCCACTGGACAAGTGGTTTTAAGTCCTCTGAGTCACTCCATCGAGTCTGCCTGTGCCTAGTCTCTAGACTTTTAATTTGGGGGGAGCCCTTGGAATATTTGTGAGTGCTAAGGGGATCTGACAAGATATACACATCCTGAAACTCCACTCCCGAAACCCCAAGCCCTGCCAAAGCCACCAGGATCTTTTGTGGAAGCTGGGGTGGGGTGCTCACTATTGAGGGCTTTGCTGAGAATATCCAAAACTTCATTCTCCATGAGTTCCATCAGGGGCAGTGGCAGCTGGAAAGGCAACAAGAAGACCCCCGTTCTGTGTGGAGCTGAAGTGCTCCCCACGTGACCTCCCCAGCCTGCCTGCCCCACCCTACCTGCAGGCCTCAGCCTGCCCTCCTCCTACCCACTGCCCGCCCGCAGCAGTCTCCCCAGGCCCCTCCAACCCTGTTCTGCTGCTCTGTCCAGTAGGCTTGATGCGGCGTCTGCTTTGACAGACTGACTGATGATTCTGAAGTAGTCTTTACTAGAGAAACGAAAAGAGAAATCAGTCATCTTCAGGCTCCTGGGTCTGCCCTGGAGCAAAGCATATATGTGTAGGCACATGGTGGATGTGGGGTTCAGAGGTTAGTTCCACATACTGCCTTCACTGAAGACTGTATGGGATACAGGTTACATACAGCCCTAGGCTTTAGAATCCCACCCAACGGGGACCCAGAACTGACTGTCCCACTGTGTGAGACGCAGAGAGTCTTTGATTTGTCACCTGTAAATGGAGTTATAGGAATTGTCTTTTGTGAGAATAGTGCATCCTGTGTGAGTGTGTTGTTGGGACTAGAACCCAGGACCTTGTATAAGCTACGATAGAACTCTACCAGTAAGCTACACTGCCAGACCCAGAATGGCCTCTTATGGCCGTTGTGATATGTAGAGGGAACAGTACCAGCAGTTCTATGCCCGACATAGAACAAGTGTTCAGTATGTGTCAATTGCTATATTGGTATCAAGCTTTTTGTTTAGACAGGGTCTCATTGTGTGGACTTAGCTGTCCTAGAACTCAATATCTAGACCAGGCTGTCTTGGAACTCACAGCTCTCCACCTGCCTCTGCCTTCTGAATACTGGGATCAGGGGTGTACACTTCCCCACACCTGGCTTTGTTATCAGTGCTAATTCCCTGAAGAAGTTGGAAATGGAAGGGACAGAGGGTGGATACACACAAGTCTCAACAGTGCTTGGCATACTGTGAATATATTTAATTTTTGTTTAACCAAGTCGGACATGGTGGTGCATGTGTGTGAATCCCAACACCCAGGAAGATCCCAGGAATCCAAGGTCATCGTGGGCTACATTCCAAAAAGAAATACAAAATAAAAATAAAGTAACTGCCGGGCGGTGGTGGTGCACACCTTTAACCCCAGCATGGGGAGGCAGAGGCAGGTGGATCTCTGTGAGTTCGAGGCCAGCCTGGTCTACAGAGCGAGATCCAGGAAAGGCGCAAAGCTACACAGAGAAACCCTGTCTTGAAAAACCAAAAATAAAATAAAACAAAATAACTATTGACTTAAAAAAAAGGGAGACTGCAAAACAGCGAGATCCCAGCCAGGGAATGAACTCTGTCCTTTCAGCTGGCGCAGTGATGAAGGGTGAGGGAGGGCTCGGAATGTAGTTCAGTAGAAGAGAACTTTCCTAGCATGCGTGGTGCCCTCGGTTGACACCCAGCACCACATTATACAAGAAACCCACCAGGTCTTCACTTGTCCTGACTGACTGCGCCTTTCTTCTACATTTCCCGATTCTGAGTAGTGGGACGCCTGCCCGGCAGGGGGCGCTCCAAGAATGTATGTCTGCGGTAAAGCGTGAAAGATTTGCTGCCCTCACACCCCCCCTCCAACCCCAGGTAATCTTGTAAATTTGGGATCCTATGGGCTTACCCCCATTTCGCAGGAAGGGAAACTGAGACCCTGGCTAGCCCCAACCCTGTACACACCTATCGCCTCGGCGAGGCCACTCTTTTCAAGGGAGGTCCCAGATTCGTGCTCCTCATCTACCGCGAGAACGCGCTCCAAGGACCTGCCACGGCGCAGCTCTAGCTCTAAACGCGCTTGCTGCTGGATCTCCTCTGGCTCGAGGTTGAGATTTTCCTTCATAGAAATGGTGTGGCTGTACCTGCGAGACTTCTTCTCTACATCTCTGCCCTCCTCGTCGAAGTCCTCGCAGACGTCGGACACCGACGCGTTCGCTGTGGACATTGTGGCCGTGCTCCATAGATCACGAACATCTCCGTACAGGCTCGACCTGGCGGAACTGCGGCGACGGTGTTCGTGTTTGGGCACAGCCTGCGGGACACACACACACACACACAAAGGAAGCCAAGGGACTCGGGGAGCTAGAGAGGGCAGGGAGAATGGGCTGGAGTGGGGACTCCATGGACCAAGCGCCCAGGCTGCAAGTGTCAGGGCTCGGAGGGCCCAGGCAGACTTCTTACTTTGGAAACGTTTTCCTCCATCGTTCCGCACCAACGGACCAGTCGCCACAGGACTCAGTCGAGAAGGGGGTCACGCTCCGGGAAGGGGGAGGGGCAGAGTCTCCTCCCGGATGGCGATAATGGTCTCGCAGGAGGAGACTTCAAGCTGCAGTTGTCGTCAAGACTAAATTGCTCCCACCCCTAATATCAATGCCAAGGTTGGTGGTGCCCAGGCCAGCTCTGAGTTCGGGTCTCCTCCAGGCATGGACAAGAGTCTGAATACCCAAGCTCAGCCTAAAGGGCCACAACTAGATCAGTGTGGGTTCCCAGTGGGCTGGATATAGCCCCACCGCAGCGCGAGAAAAGCACTCGCACACCCACTCGGGTCCCAGGAGCACTCACTCGGTGGTGCAGACTTTTTGTTTATTGATGCAGGTTTTGAGGCACAGTCGTGAGGTGTGAGGGACAAGCCGGGCCAGGACAGCGAGACAGAAAGCTTTGGATGGTGGAATTTGGAAATGGTTGGGTGTGAGGAACCAACCGGGGAAGAGCGGTGCCATTTGGCAACCCTTGAACTCCTCCCAGGGTTACGATCGCGTTGAACAAAAGAGGGCTCTTTGGTCAAATAAGCCAAACATGCCTGGGCATCAGCAGGAACGGAGCCACTGGCGGGGGGTCCCGGGTCAGGGATCCGGCCCCTACACAGGCACAGCTTTGTCTCGGAGACGCGCAGGACCCCGGGGTCTCGAGGGCTTCTTGGGGGGATTGGGACGGCGGCGACCCCGAGGCGCTCGAGGCAGGGAGCAGCCACGTTCACTCTGCGTGTCTGAGGACTCGTCGATGAAGGCCAGGTTCTCACTGGGGTAATCCAGAGCCGAGGCCGTGGGCGGGGAAGGTGTCTCGGCCTTCTTTGGGGGCACAGGGGACCCCGGCCTGCAGGCTGGCTCAGCAGCACCAGGTGGCGCTGGCAGGGAAGAGGGCAGGAGCGGTTGCTCCTTCTCTGGTGGCGGGGCGCTGGGCCCGGCTCTCTGGGTCACTCGTGCTGTCACTGTCCCGGTCCAGCTAGCAGCCTGCGCCGTGAGGCCACCCATCTGCAGAGAGGAAACGGTGTCCGCCGATTCTGGGAACTGCCCCTTTACCTTTTCGCCTGGCTCTCGAGCCTCAGCCTGACCCCGCAGACACACAGTCCTGCATTGGATCGAAGCACCCCTTCTCCAGGAGCCTTTCTAGAAAGCCCCGGTTTTGTTTCAGCCTTAGCTGTCTCTCTGTAGTCGGCTAGCAAAATGCAGGTTTCAGATAAATCGCAAAATTTAATATCAGTATGACTCATACAATATTTGGGGCATGTTCTAAAATCTTATTTGTTGTTCATCTGAAACTCACATGTAACTGGCCTTTCTAGTTTTGTTGTTTTTAAAATAGAGTCTCATTCTATAGCCCAGGCAGGTCTGAACTCGCAGCAATCCTCCTGACTCTGCTCTGCTTACCAAGTACTGGGATTTACAGACGTGTACCACCTCGCCTCTGAGTTTTTATTTACTAACCCTGGCGACCCTATCTATCCATGGAGGCCGAGGTGGTCGAGTCCCTGACAAACCTGAATTTACTCCATTGTTCCCGGTAGCGCACGCTCCGAGTCTCAATTTCGGAGGAACCTACATTTTGGAGGGGAGTCTGGCTGATCAACCAGCGGCTAAGGGTACAACACACAAGTGACATGCATGGCGCATGCGCGGCAAAGAACAGACCCTGAGGAGCGTACCTCTGCCCGCGTGCGGCGAGACACCGCTCGCAACCAGTTGCCGATGGTGGTGAGCACCGAGGCGAAGTAGGCTAGGCCAAACAAGATCCAGAACCACGCCAGAGGTTGGTAAGCTGAGTTCTGCCCGGGGTCAGTGCCTAGATAATTCACAGGGAGAGAAAAGTAAGTTGATGGGATCTGGAGGCAAACGTGTGAGCCTCTGGTTCACCGCCGGTTTCTGCACCTTGTTGAGAGAGTGCCCCTCCCCAGAAAAAAAGGGATGTGCTGGAGTGTTAGATGTATGCAAGATGAGTGTGCACGAATTGCAACTGTGTATAGTAAGTGCATGCAAGAGGGGGCGAACTTAATATATGTATGAGCATGCACGGGACTCAGGCCTACAAGATGTAAGTGGGCATTAGGTGCTGCCTGCTGGAAGCACCATGGTGCGTTCCGTGATGGGTGTGGGAGCTGGGGCAAACACCCCACAGTAGTGCATAGGCAGAGTGCAGGGATAAAGTAGTTAGGGAAAGTGCTGGGCAAAGTTAGCCTCACCGGGCACATAATCGCCAAAGCCCACGGTGGTGAGTGTCACTATGACAAAGTAGATAGCTTCCAGCTTGCTCCAGCTCTCCATATAGGAGAACACGAAGGTAGGAGTTAGGACAAAGAGCAGGCAGCCAATCAGCAGAAAGAGCACCGCCGACAGCATTCTCACCAGCCCGGGTGGCACGTGCCACTTCTGCGGGGAGGGGCGAGAGATAGGGCCATGGAGATACCAATTCCATTCTCCCCACCCCACCCGACCTCCATCCTGGCTTACTGCGAGGCTCCCTAGGAGTGCACACTCACATGCCAGGGACCTAGGGGAGAGTACCCTATGAGGGGCACAGTGCAGCTCACCAAGAAGATTGCTTCGATGTGACCGATGCCCCGGCGCAGAGAGGAGCCCAGCCGGTCCCCGACCCCCGCCAGCAGCATCCCGAACAGCGGGATCCCCACCAGTGCATAGAAGATACAAAAGAGACGCCCGGCGTCTGTCTGTAAGGCTGTATTGCCATAGCCTGGATAGAGGGAGCAGTGCAGGAAATGTAGGCGCTATCTGGCACCCACTGCCTTTCCCTGCACCTTCCCCCATAGGGAAACTCCTTGCCCCTTGCCTCCCTCCACATGCCCCATCTCCTCCCCCACCGATGGTAGTGATGATGGTGCCCGAGAAAAAGAAGGCGCTGCCCAGGTTCCAAGCTGATGAGTGGTTGCTGCTATTGGTCCAGCTGGTGTCTGGATTTGCACCCCCTCCCAGGGCTTCAGCCACGAGCTGCGGACAAGGCGCACAAGGAGGAACCTCAGTCCTTCCCTCCAGCTGGGCCCTCCAGCTCCAGCCCTCCCCGTTCCTTACATAGCTCACTGGCTGTGCATCTCTCTTCCCTTCCCTGCTCTTTGGTTTTAGTCTTTGACAATGTCTCTCTGACTCTCTCTGCCTAGCTATCTTTTTGTGGTTGGTTGGTTTGTTTTTTTTGTTTGTTTTTGTTTTTGTTTTTCGAGACAGGGTTTCTCTGTGTAGCTTTGCGCCTTTCCTGGATCTCACTCTGTAGCCCAGGCTGGCCTCGAACTCACAAAGATCCACCTGACTCTGCCTCCTGAGTGCTGGGATTAAAGGCGTGCGCCACCACCAACCGGCGGTTTGGTTTTTTGAGACAGCATTTCACTATGTATCCCAAGCTACCCTGAAACATGCTGTGTAGTCCAGTCTGGAGCTATTGATCCCTCCTGCCTCAGCCCCCCAAGTGCTAGAATTAGAAGCATAAAACTACCATAACTGACTTTGCATGACAGATTCCTAGCTTTACAGTCGGGAGCATGGATGCTGGGAGCAGGTGCCTGGGTTCCAATCTTAGCAGCCTTGGGCAAGTTAACTCATGGTTCCTCAGATTCCTCCTCAATCACATGGGGTGACTGTCAGAGCACCAACATCATAGATCTGGCATGAGGAGTAAACACTGGGTATTTGTTGGGTATTTTCCCACATGGCCATGATGTCCTGTGAGTTCCTGCTCCCTGTGAGTGTGAGACTCCACCACCCCCACTGCTCCAATGGAAAGTGAGTCTGAGTACCTGGCCTCTAAACAATGTATTGAAAGGTGAGACCTTCACATGCCATCAAATGTTGTGGCCACTTTTAGAATGTTTATATGTGCACACGCCACCTCATAACATCCAAGTCAAACCCAGTATTTCATATGGAGTGCTCCATAAGCACGACTGAATGAGTGAAGTGCCAGGGCCATGCTTTTCTTCCCTGCCTGCAGATTCCCCAGGGGAACAGTCTGTGTCTGGAAAGAGCTTGCCCTGGGTGCTGGAATGTCAGAGCACCCAGAAGATGACACAAAGAAGGGCCCTTCCCCATACTAAGCAAGGAGAGAATCCACAGGGAAGTTTACAGTCTGTCTCATCTCCATGACAGGCCCCATTAGCAGGACCTACTCCAAGTTCATCCTCCCTGGAGTAACTGCTGCAAACCCTCAAGGCTCTGATTTGTCCAGAGGAGGGTCTAGGCTCCTTAGCTAAGCATTTATTTAGTTATTATTTTGAAAAAAAAAAAAGTCTCATATAGCCTAAACTAGCCTCAAACTCACTATGTAGTCAAGGATGGCTTTGAACTCCCGATCCTCTTGCCTCTACTAAGTGCTGACATTAGAGGTGTGAGCTACCCTCTCCAGTTTTGGTAGTGCTGGAGAGACAACCCAAGCCTGCAGCATGCTAGGCCAGTACTCCATCAACTGAGCCACACCCCTGCCACTCGCTCTTATTGGAGGGTTGTTTGCTTTTGTTTTGGGAGACAGAGTCTTTCTTACTCAGTAGCCCAAGCTAACCTGGAACTCAAAGCAATCCTCCTGTCTCAGCCTGGCACAAGCACTTTTTCCAACCTGGTCTCCACCTTTCCTCAGACTTCTCTCTTGAGATTCTGATTTTGCAGCCCAAAATACAGCAACCTTCTCCCCAGATTCTCTGAGGTGATCCCGTTTTCTGTAATAATGGTCTTTGAATAAAGAGGTGAAATATCTGGTTAAAAGTGATTTAAGTTTTTTAAGATATATTTTATATGTTTATTTTATTTTATTGCGTATATGTATGTATTATGTATGTCATGTGCATGCCTGGTGCCCACAGAGGCCAGAAAAGGGTGCCAGATTCTCTGGATCTAGAGTTACAGATGGTTATGAGCCACTGTGGGGGTGCTGGGAACCAAACCCAGGTCCCCTACAAGAGCAGCAAGTACTCCAAACTGCTGAGCCATCTCACCAGCCTCAGTGATTTATTTTTTATTTGGCAACATTCCCTCACATCCCCAAATCCTTCATCATCCAGTGTGCTCTGATTTTTGTTTCAAATGACCAGGCATCTGCTATCTCCAGTTTCTGCTACACTCTGAGCTTGCCAGCTTCCACTCCATTGCCATGCTGTTCCTCTGCTTGGGAGTTGTTTGGCCCCACACTCAGAATCCTGTCCCTCTCACTTGGTACCCTCCTGCTGCCAGCTCTCCCCAAAGCCTCTGCATTCTGCTTCATTCCCAGCACACAACCCAAGGCCCAGCAACCAGTGGGTGCTTAATGAAGAAGGAAGGAATCCCCCTTTCCACGGCTTCCTACAGTCTGTCCCTGGATCTGTGCCTTAGATGTGACAGCACTGAGAAGCCCCATCTGCCTCCCCCTAATATGTGTACCTCTACCCACCCCCAGCACACACAGGCAGATCATTGCCGCAGGACTCACTCCTCCAGGGAGTGGTCTTGTTGTTAAGAGAAGCAAAACAGCAGTCACCACCCTGTAGGCGCCCGGTCTCTCCTTTTCTTCTTTCTCATCCCAGAATAAAGCAATTCCATTGTGAAGATAAGTAGGTCAGACTCCCTGCCTCCCTCTGCCCTGTGGTCTGGCCAGGCGCACTTTCCACCCAGGCACTTCTGAGCAGAGCATGTCCTGATTTCTGGAAGTGAGAGAGGGCACCACTCTGCCCGTATCTTTGCACTGGATCCTGCCACCTTAGGAATCAGTTGGAACTCTGAGGCTTACATGCAGACCCTCCACAAACAACAGTCAGGGAATGAGGGGTACTCTTCTGTCAAGTGAGAAATATTACTTTATCAAGGTTAAGCCAGAGCTTTCCAGAACGGTGACGGAGAAATCAAAGGGAGCGACACAGGAACTCACTACCTAGACCCATGAAGGCTGAAGCCCATAGCTTCCCTTCATGACTGGATGGAGACTGATCTACAATAGCCTGGGAAAGCCTGACAACCCCCCACCCAGCCTTTTCCACTTGCTTGGCTGCTAAGCATGAGTCCGAGGGAGGAGGGACCCCTGAACTGGCATCCACAGTGGTAGGAGCAGAAGCCCTCTAAAATCATCTCTACTTGTTTATGTGCAAACTTGGGGACACAGGGGGAGGTGTTCACCGTATTCTTGGGTTTCTCTAAAACATCTGAACTAAAAAAATGCATAGGAACTTGTGTGGGAGGAGCAGCCAACATTAGCAAGTAAAAACTCTGCAGGGAGCCAGGTATGGCTGTTCCGGCTTGGAATCCCAGTGCTCTGGAGGCTGAGGCAAGACAAGACAGTCCAGAGTTCAAGGTTAGTTTGTGCAGCACAGTGAGTGCCAGGCCAGTCAGGGCTACGTAGCAAGCTCCTGTCTCAAAAAAACAAAAATCGTTACCAGGGTTACATTTAAATTCAGCTGTTTAGCTGAAAGTCCCAAGTGACTGAACATCTAAGGTTTGGTCTGGTGACCTAATGATGTTAGACCTGTACAAATGTAGCATCCCATGTGCTCCAGCCACTTATTCATTCCATTCATTTATTTGTCCGTTTTCCCTTCCTTCTCTCAGCGTCACACGGGGAAGGAGGCATTCCAGGAGCACAGCCTTATGCCAGCAGAGACAGGTAGCAACAACAACATGGCCAGCACATTGAAAACACCTGCATCTCAGATCCTGTCCAACACCCCCAGATGCACCCAGTCCTCATACATGTCTGAAAGCAGCACCCTGAGCAGGACCCTACTGCTGACTAGTTCTGCCGACCCACCTTGATGAATTTCGTCAGGTTCTCTTGGCTCACACATGGATAGTCCTTCAGAAACTTGTCTCGGCCATCCTCCAGCTTCTTCTGAACCTGCTGCTCATAAGGCTGCTCTAGAGCCTGGAACACTAGAGCCCCGGATACCAAGTAAAGCAGCACCAGTGCCAACAGGGCCAGGAGTGTGGTGCTGCGCATGGCCCTTCCAGAGGCAGGTCCGGCTCCGCTTCCTGCCTGGGAAGGAGGAGCAGGGAGCTCCTGGGGAGCAGTAGTCACTGCAGGCCAAACCAAGGATTATGGGGTCAAGAAGAGATCTGACACCCACATCCTCCCTTTCTATCTTAGACTCCCCAAGGTTTTGGAACCCCTAGCCTTATTGTCCATGGATATAACACCGCCGCCCCCAGCATTCTCTGGCTAGACATCTAGTTCCAGGTACTAACACCTAGACCCCCACCTCCAGCCTCCCTCTTACCTCCGGGGCCTAACCATCAGGAGAGTAGGAGGAAGAAGGAGACAATAAGCCAGCCTCGGAAGAGGCAGGGTAAGTGAGAAAAGTGGGGAGTTGTGAGCCATAGGGAGCCTTGGAGAAGACCAAGGGAAGACCAGGGCTTTCCAAGGCAAAGCAGGAGGAGAGGCTGGAGCCCGCAAAACAGGAGACAGGAATAGCAGGTCCATACTTGGCTCTCCTAATGCGGCTGTGGCAGCTTCCTCAGATGCATCTGTCCCCTCCTGCCTTTCCCGAGTCCAGGCTAGCAGGGATCAGCGGGGCAGGGATCCTCCAGGGTCCCCACCCGCCCGCTGGGCTTTCGAGGAACCCAGAGGCAGATCTGGCTGCAGGGTAGAGGGAAGGCCCAGAGCCAGGGAAAGGAAAGGTAGGCACCAGGTTCTCGAAAGAAGCGAGGCACGGGGTGGGAAGGGCAGCATGGATACAGCAGCCCACGGGACAGCTGTCACCTAGGGAGCAGCGGGAGATGGCAGGCACACACACACACACACACACACACACACACACACACACAAACACACACACGAACGCACATATATATGCTCTCTGCCACACATGCCATAAAGATCCGCGATCCCACACTCCACCCCTAGGCTCTAGCCGCAAGCTGCCCAGGCTGCAGGCGTAGCACTGCACCACATTCCAGCAGACCCCGGCGCAACAGACCACCATGGGCGTGCCCGCGGTGCTGAACCACCTTAGAGGTCCACGCGCACGGGTGCACGCGCACACACACACACACACACACACACACACACACACACACACACACACACACCAGATCCGCGTGACACCGCACGCCAGCCACTTGCTCCCACCACCTCCCCCGCGTCCTTACGCCGACGCCTCCGAGCGTGACCCGCGACGGGACGCACCGTCACACCACTCGAGGAGGGCATCCACGCGCGGGAGGTGGGTGTCCCGTTCTGCCGGTCGCCTCCCAGCTCCCGGCCCCGATATCCAGCCCACGTTCCCGCGCCTGCTCCTCACTTACTGTCTGCCCCCTCTGCGGCTGCGGCTTTGGCTGCGGCCAGGTCTCCCGCGCCGCCTCGCGCGGGTACGGGCTGGGTCACGGAAGTGGTGGCAGCCGGGGGACCGAGCGGTTGGCCTTCAGGCTGGGACACCCCCCCCTTTCCCACCCTCAAAAGCCCCCTCCCCGGGCGCTTAACCCTACCACAGCTACGTCTTCTAGTCTCCTACGTGCCGCACCCTCGCCACCGGCTCTCGCTGTCACCCGCCTTGCACTCAGCCCTTTACCTGCACCCTCTGGGCTCCCCAATCCTGGCTTGTCCTGGCCAGTGAGTGGCAGAAGAGCTAGAGAGGGGTCGACGCGGAGTCCAACCTTCCAGGCTGGGATCCGAGCCCCAGCGCTGCCCTAACCTGGACATCAGTTGGCCCAGGGCTCAGGACAGCCGTCACACTCATCTCCTGGAATCTTCTGGGTCTATTACTGGACTGGGAAGAGCCCTCTTTTCTCCGCCCATGGGGATAGTCAGGCCCTTGGGCTCAGCACTTATGAGGGAGAGGCCCTCAGGGAGAAAGGGGTATGTGGGGGTGGGGGGCGGGGAGATCTCTTTGAGGCCACCTGGATTTAACCAGCTGCATGGGCTGGGTCCCAGCTCTGGGAAGTCACTGATGGAGCATCTCCTGATCTGGCTGCATCCCCAGCTCTGATCCTCCAGGTCCTGGAGTAACCCCCCCACCCCACCCCCGGAGAGGGGGCAGCAGCTGCCTGCCAATCCTAGCAGGCAGAGTAGAGTGCTAGCATTTTCTGAAGAGCTAAGACTGGGTCCTATGCTGTCTCTGCCCTTCCCTGTTCATGTTCATATCCATTTCTTTACTGATCTCCCCAAAGTCTCTCCTGCAGCATTTGGAGATCCTATGGGCTTGTGGTCCATACTTTTTATTGTTGTTTTGCTTTTTGGAATCTGGGTTTCTCTTTGTCCTGGAACTTGCTTTATAGACTAGTGTGGCCTCAAACTCAGAGATCTGCCTGTCTATGACTTCTGAGTGCTGGGATTAAAGGTACACACCACCATACCAGGTTCAGTGGTGATGGTCAGTAGTTTTAAGCCTAGAGTTTAAGGTGACCACCCCAGATGCGAGGGGGCCAGGGCAGGTTACCAAACTCTCTAGAGTCTTCCCGTCCCCACTTACAGTAAAATAATTTTCTCCGGGTGCTGATTGGAGCGTTTAGGAGGTCAGTGTTTATAAAATGCTCAAAGGCTGGCACACACAATTAAGTGCTCTATAAATGTTAGCAATTTTGCTTCCAACCAAAGTGATTGTCTAGCTTACTGCTGAAGTCTCGAGCCTCTGATGTTCTCTCCGGAGACCTTGCAGACCTGGCTCCAGGATGCTCCCAAAGAAAGGGCTTCAAGGCAGACTCACTGCTAGGCTGAGAGCCCAGAGGAGTTGGAATCACCAGGTTTCTGGGCAGGAGTCACAGGCTCTGATAAGCACTCCTGAGCCACAGGGCAGAGCTGCCAAGATGTCATGTCAGGAGTGCAGGGCACTGACTAAACTGTTGGGGGCAGTAGGCGTGCACCAGGAGCTGACTGCAAGTGACCAGGCAATCAGGGGAACCCATTTCCAAGTGAGGAGATGGAGGTGGGCCACAGCAACACCTCTTGACACTTGAAGGCCACATTAGAAGTTGTGACAGAAACAAACGAGACCTCAGGCCAATGAGATTGCTCAGTGCTGCATAAGGCTGCTTACCACCAAGCCTGAAATTCCAAGTTGATTCCTGGAACCCCATGGGTTTTCCTGACTCTATACCTGTATGTGTGTCTGTGTATGCACACCCACGCTACACACACCCCACAATTAAAATAAGTGAGTATTAAAGGAACTAGGCCTGCACAAAACTTAATCCATTCAAAGACAAGATGCCCAACAGACTGTAGAGATGGCTTAATGGTTAAGAGCACTTGCTGGGGGTCCTCTGAAAGCTGTAGTGGGTAGCCATTCCAGCTTTGATCTGGAAGTTCCAACCCCCATTGAGGCTTCGGTAACTGTCACGCCTAAAAGGCGGGGCTGAGAGAGGACCCTGAAGACCCGAGATCCGATGTACCGGCTCTCTTGGTTCCTGGATCCTGGACGCTGGAGGTAGACCGAGCAGAGTTCTCCAGAGTACACCGCTGGACTGTGCTACACCTTTCCCAGACCCTGTTACCTATCCCTTCACTTGTAAGTTACCCCACAAAATAAACCTTTTAACTACATGGAGTGGCCTTAATAATTTCACCAATATCTGGCGCCCAACGTGAGTTTCCAGCACTGATAGCTTACAGTCTGTAACTCTAGCTCCAGGGGATCTGGTGCCCTCTTCTGGCTTCCCTGGGCACCACATACAGGTACAGATACACCTATACACACATTAAAAACAAATCTTAGAAAAAAAAAAAAAAAAAGATGCCAAACAGGCTAGGTAGACATGATGGTACATGCCTGTAGTCCCAGTAGTTGGCAGGTAGAGGTAGGAGTGTCAGGAGTTCAAAGTTATCTTCAGCTACTTACAAGGTCTCTATCTCAAAAAGCTGAAACTGGGTCAATGAGATGGCCCAACAGGTAAAGGTCTTTGCCACCAAGCCTGATGACATAAATTCTGTCCCCTGATCCATATGGTGAGAGGAGTGAGCCAACTAATAAGCTGTCACCTGACCTCCACGTGTGTGTGTGTGTGCTGTGACAAGTGCTTGTCCACTCATACACACAGACACACAAATATGTTAATTAAAAAATGATAGCTGGGCATGGTGGCACACTCCTTTAACCTCTCAGCACTAGAGAGGCTGAGGCAGGGAAATCTCTGTGAGTTCAAGGCCAGCCTGGTCTATAGATCGAGTTCCAAGACAGCCAGGCTACACAGAAGACCCCATCTCAAAAAACAAAAAAGTCAGAGGGCTGGTGAGACGGCTCGGTGGCCAAAGGCACTTGCTGCCAAGCCTGGCAACCCGAGTTCACTCTCTGGGACCCACATGGTAGGAGAGAACTGCCTCAATATGAACCCACACACATACACAATAAATAAATGTAATACAATCTGTTTGTTTTTCGAGACAGGGTTTCTCTATATAGGCTCTGCTATCCAGAAACTCACTCTTGTAGACCAGGTTGACCTCGAACTCACAGAGATCTACCTCCCTCTGCCTCCTGAGTGCTGGGATTAAAATGTGCACAACCACCGCCTGGCTGTAATACAATTTTTTAAAGGATGCCTAAAAGCCCCATGATTACAGTGCTGTGTGGCCTGGGGGAGGGGTTATGGCTCTCTGCATAGCCAGCAGAAAGTTTCGTGTAGATTCGACTCCCTGCCCCCTCCTGTGGAGACTCAACTCATAGCCCTGGACATGTCAAGCAGCGAAGTACTCAATAACTGAGCCACATCTCCAGCCTGTGGAGGTGACTTTTCAATCAGGGCAGGTGCACAAACCTCTAGCCCCAGCTATTTGAGCTGAGACTAAGGCAGAAAAATCACCTGAGCCCAAGAATTTCAGGCCAGGCTGGGCAACATCGAGAAGGCCACTCTAAACCAGGACAACTTGGACAACAGAGGCCTGTGCAGTCCCTCTACCGCCCCATGCCCGCTAGCCTTGATGAAAGTGAGTGGCTCCCTTCCAGCCTAGCGACCCATGGCAAAGGCCAGTGTTTGATCAGCCTGATGCCAAACAGGGAAGAAGGTACACAACTCAGACAAGCGACAGGTGAAGGGACAGGACACAGACTCTGTTTATTGAGTGGTAGGCACAGGAGAGGTAGCTGGCTCCAGTGTGGAAGCAGAGGCAGCAGGTCATGCCAGGGCACTGTGGGCATCTGGCAGCCTGGGGGCCTTGTCCCTATCTTAGGGGGATGGCACAAGCTCACTACGACAGGAGCAGCAAGGAGCTGGCCAGAGGAGAGAAGCAGCCACAGTCCCCTGGCATCCTGGGCAAGAAGCGGCAGATGTACTTGGCACAGGGGCCGGGGATAAGGGGACCTGGGGCCTGGGTGCTCTAAGGGGAGTAAAAGGAGATCATGTCTGTGGCGTGGAATAGAGGCTGTGGTGGTGGCCGCCAGGTCCTGGCACCTGGGAGAAGAGCAGAGGAGTGGTCCTCGGCTGACTGGCCCCGCCCCAGCCTGGCTCACGCCCGATGGCACCATACCAGCTGCCAGAGCCCAGGCTGCCGGACATGCTGCAGGCAGAGAAGCAAGGTAAGTCCCAGGAGTCCCAGGTAGTACCCAGGGTCACATTCATGAGATGGGGGGCAGGGGTAGGCGCCTTTAGCCCTGGGAACCCAGAGGGGGCTTCACTCAGAACAAGTCAAGCCTGGCTCTTGGTCCCCACTGTCTCATGGAGCCAGGCAGGACCCCAAGACCCCTCAGGCAGGGTTGAGGCTCCTACCTGGTGCTCTCACTCCGGCTGTGCTCCCAGGAACAGCCCTCATCCTCACAGTGCCCAGCCCGGTCAAAGAAGTAGGAACGGGAGTCAAAAACCTGCCCGTTGAGGATTCGACTGGTGCTCTGTAGGTGTGGGGGGAGAAGCTGCTACTATGGATTTTTATTTTTGCCCCCATAACTGTCTCAGGACCCAGGCTAGAATTCCCAGGGTCTAGCCCACTCCACTGGACCTAGAGGTGGTTGGGGGCCCTACCAGGTCCTGCGGGGGCCGGTGTACCCGGAAGAAGCCCACCAGCAGTGTGGTGGGCAGCAATTCCCACACGAAGAGGATGAGACCAAACACCAGGTAGCCTTTGTTCCCTAGGTCATTCACCAGGTCTGCCTGGGGAAAAGCAGAGGCTGAGAACAGTCTGCCACCACACAGACCATGCTGGCGCAGGGCCCTGGCCAGCTGGAGGCTAGATACTAGAGAAGGGACAAACTTGACCAATGCCTACCTGGTCAGATACGTTGTACCAGTCGTAATCGAAGGCATCTAGCCGGCTCCGAGGGGCCAAGGCCAGAGCTGCCAGGTTGTAACAGGCCCGACTGGCATAGAGCAGAACCATGGCACCCCCTATGGCAGCCGCCTGGCACACACTGGTCCCCTGGTAGAGATGACGGTAGAGGATCTTCAGGGGGAGGAGGCTTCCTCTACACCCTAAAGACCTCTGTCCAAGGATCCTCAAGGATACCACATCAGGGTTGGTGGCCCTACCTTAGCCTCTAAGTAGATGCTAGTGGAAGGGGCTCGCCGGGCGACGAGGCAGAGGCAGGCAGCAAGCGAGAGGGCACAGATGACGAAGAGAGAGTCGCTCACCAGGACGCGGACCAGCAGGAGAACCCAGGGCTGTGCGCGCCGCTGGCGGGACAGCACTGCACACAGTACATTCACCAGCAGAAAGAGCAGTGAAGCGCCCACGAAGGCCCCTCGGACAGCCAGCCTGCAGCCCACAGCAACGTCAGCCCCCGACCATGGGTCTCCTTGGCCCTCACCAACCGCCCTGACTCCTCAGAAGACCCCAGGGCCAACCAGAGCTCGGGTGGTCCAAACTCTGCTCGGCTAGTTTTGCACAGGAGGGAAGGTGAGGTTCAAAGAGGTGAGGTGACTGAAAGCTACGGCATTGCAGGAGGAGCACCAGACAGGGGCTCAGACATCGGGACCTGAGCCCTGACTGGGCCTTCCTCCAGCTGTGTGACCTTGAACACGTTGTTTTATCTAACTGGGCCTCAGTTTCTTCATCTCTTAAAATGAGAATAAGAATAGTATCTCAGGTGAGATGTAAAAAGATGCTTGTGAAATATCCTTATAAACTGGAAGACATTGTGCAAAGGACAGGCAGGCAGGGACGGTGCAGCCAAGGTCACTGGAAGTGCACCAATACTTTATAGAGTCCATGGGTCGGAGCTTCTATCTTTCTCCACCGTGGATGGCACTATCACGGCTATCTGCAGCAGGCACTTTAGTTTTTCCTAGCTCTATCACAAATGTTCTGGGGTTCTTCTCTCAACCCTGCCACTGACCCATTAACTTCTCCAGTACTTACAAGCCTCGGCTCATCTCTGGCCGACGCTTTGCCTTGGCCTTGAACACCACCTGGGAGCGGAGAGACCCATCACTCCTCTGGACCCTTGGGTTTGCCCTCCTCCCACCCCCACCACACCAGTTCCCGTGGTTACCTGGGCAAAGTAGAGGTTCATAAGCGTCAGTGTGAAGAACTGCAAGCAGACAGGGCAGCAGTAGAGAAGCCAGAAAGGCAAGGGCCCCAGGCGGTTGGCCCTGGGGGTATCTCGGAAGTAGAAGGAGAAGAGTGTGGTACGCAAGGCTGCCCAGAGCAGACAGAGTGCCAGGAACACCGTCTGATAGCTGAGGCGCTTGTGCCCATACAGAAGCACCAGCCAGAGCTGGGCATAGACAGAGAAGAAGAGCAGCGCGTACAGGGCAGTGTAGGCAGCGGTCAGCCCCAGAGTCACTGTAGGCGGCAGTGCAGGTACCAGCCCGGCTGCAGGCACCAGGCCAGACAGGTTACTCTCCATGTCAAGGAGGGAGGCCTGAAACCAGGAGACAGAGATGGAGGGCTGGCCAGAAGCCAGGGAAATAAATACGGAGGGGTGGTTACTGCAGGGGATGGTGAGAGCTGGGGACTCTGGAGGAAAGAAGTTGGGGTTGCCAGGCCTTTCCTCCTCAAGAGACGGGGGGTGGGGGGTGGGCACGGGTAATCTGGGCCCTGAACCCCTCACTCTGGAGTGTGTAAGGGTACTCTTTCCTACCCAGGGCAAATGGAGTGGGGGTTGGGGGTGTCCCTCCCTGGGTCAGCCCCAGAGCCAAGATGGGAGGATGCAGTGGTACAGAAAGTCCCTGGCCTTGGTCGCTCGTGTCCGGCTGGCAGGAGGGGGAGAGCCGGCCGATGCCCGTCAGCTTAGGACAGCGGCCGCTGCGGGGGCGCCCAACGCCCCGCTCTCCCCCTCCCCACGCTTGGTGGCTCTTTCCCCTCCAATAATCCGGATTGGGGGGCTTCTTCCTCTGTCCTCAAGATTCCAGACGTTGTTCCCCCACTGCGTCCACCCTCAGCCCCGGTGAATAAGAGGAAGTCGATGTCAGGTCCTCAGGCCGCTGCTGGGGAAGCGGGATCCGGTCGCCGGGACACGGGGCTCCAGCTCCCCGGCTCCCGCTGCTCCGCCCCACTCCTGCGCCTGCGCGGGCGTCCGTTCGCTACGCAAACTGCGTAGCAGCCGATGGAGATTCCGAGGCCGTGCGCCGCGCCCGGCGTGCAGCTCTTCGAGAATCGACGCGAGATGCGCTGGCGGCGGGCGTCCGGGGTTACGGATGGCTGCGGGCGGCCGAGAGGTGGAGACAGGGCCGCACGCAGCAAGCACTCGCGTTACTCATGTCCTGAGCTGCCAAGCTCTTAATGTTTGGGGAACTACTGTTTCCTACGCTTGGATCCCCTAGCCCACATCGGGATCGGCGTGCCCATATGGGGGCGGCAACGACTTCCCCGCACTGGGTCGCTGAAGGGAACTTCCGCCCACAATCAAGATGGCATCCTGGCCCCGCCCCCTAGCTTCTGTTCGCGGGCTCCGCGCTCCGGCCTGCGGCCGCTTGCACACACCTTTTCTAGCAGCCGAGCCCCCGAGAGCCCCACGGCTCGTCCTCCTGGGCGCCCCTGTCCCTTCTCCCGCACCCGGGCGGCCATCCTGCTTGGAAGGAGCTCCCGAGATGGCGCGGTGGGTTGTCCCCGAGTTGGGCAACGCGAGGCCTCCACGACCAGGAGGAGGAAGGAGCCGGCTTCCCCATCCCGGTCCCTGGGTCCAGGAAGAGCAATAACCATCGCAACGATCACTGCACCCTACGGCCGAGCTTCAGTGAACGGCTCTACCAGTGCTTTCGCCCATAGTAATCACTGAGCTGTTTACAGCGTTTTCACCAGCTCCCCAGGGAGGTGTCATTAGCCCCATTTTACAGGAGGGGATTCGGGCCCAGAGGGGCTAGAGGATGTATCAGCCGAAGCAGGCCTTCCCGATCCAAATGCGAACCCCACAGCAGCCCTTGCTGGCTCCTGCACAGGCCCTAGACGTGAGGAAGTCAGATCCCGGAATCCGGAGCCTGGGGAGCGACGCGGGAGGAAGGCGGTGGAGACCAGCAGGTCGACTGCAGGGGTGGGACCTGGCTTGGGGTGGCCCCGCCTCCAGGCCGACCCGGGATTTACTTCGAGAACTGATTGGGTCAGATGCGTGACAGTTCCCGTCGCCCAGGAAACTAGGACCGGGCGCCCTTAGAACTAGAGGGAGGAGGCAGGTCCGGGTCAGGGGCCTCGAGATCGGGCTTGGGGTGAGACCTCTTCGCGGTCATAACGGGCAAGCGGGACGCGCCAGGGCCTGGACAGAACTCTAAAGAGAGATTTAGTATCCTGGGGACAGCCTGTGTTCTCCACCAGGCCAGACCCAGCGGACAGATGAGGGCTTGGGAAGACTGATAGGCCTGTGTTGTGTGTGTGTATGCGCGCGCGCGCGCGCGCGTGTGATCCAGTAGGAGAGGGAGCCAGGGGCCAGACCCAGCAGACAGATGAGGGCTTGGGAAGACTGATGGGCCTGTGTTGTGTGGGGGTGCCAGGGGCACCTCTCCTGCTTCTCCTCACCACTGTTTGCCTCGCTCTGCCCTAAGTACTTCTTACCTTGTCTTTACAGCCCAGAGTATGTTCCAGATCCCAGAGTTTGAGCCGAGTGAGCAGGAAGACTCCAGTACTGCTGATAGGGGCCTGGGCCCAAGCCTCACTGGGGACCAACCGGGTCCCTACCTGGCCCCAGGTCTCCTGGGGAACATCAGACACCAACAGGGGCAGGCAGCCAACAGCAGTCATCATGGAGGTAGGTTCCCCACCCCACCGTCATCTGCCTGTCCCTTGCCCCCCACTCAGTTGCCCCTTGTGTCCCTGTTGCAGCCATACTTCCTGAAGACTCTGGGGTAAGTCCCACATAGCTCTGAGCCTCAAAATGTCTCTTCTACAAACTATCACTACCTTTGTAAGACCACAGGGCTAATTCACAGAAATATTTGGCATGCCCTTAGTGATCAAGCTGCTTCACTGAATGCTCAAAACAGGCCCCAGGATAGACAGCAGTGGGAGGCAAACAGATGCCCAAAGAGGAAGTGACTTTCCTAAGGTCACCCTAAGAAGTGGTGCTGGAAGACTCCTCAGTTTCTGAGTACCTGTTCTTCCTGGGTTAGGGCCTTCCAGTGGCCAGTAGGTTCGTTCGTTCTTTCTTTTCTTTTTTTCCTTTTTTTTTTGTTTGAAGATAGGGCTTCTCTATGTAGCCCTGGCTGTCCTGGAACTTATCTGTAGACCAGGCTGGCCTCCCAAGTGCTGGGATTAAAGGTATGTGCTACCACTGCCCAGCCAGTAGGTTCTTTCTTGCCCCATGGATCACCCACAGCAGGACTGTCCTTGCACAGATGGGACAGGCAGGTGACCAAAGTGACAAACAGAAGACCAGTGTGAGGATTGGAAAGTGAGTGCCAAAATGGAAGGAGAAGCATTGGAAGATACTGGTTATTTCTCAGTCCTCTCCACTCCCAGGGTTGAGCCTGTACAGCCACAGAAATCTCAGCTTAACCCGGTCTGTCACTGCCCACTAGAGCTTAAATGACCCCCATTTCCTTCTTTTTTTCTTTTCTTTTTCTTTGTTTTTTTTTGAGACAGGATTCCTCTCTGTAGCTTTGGAGTCTGTCCTGGAACTTGCTCTGTAGACCAGGCTGGCCTTGAACTCAGAGAGATCTGCCTGCCTCTGCCTCCCGAGTGCTGGGATTAAAGGTGTGTGCCACCACGGCACAGTCCCCACTCCCTTTTTGAGACAAGGCCTCATATATCCCAGGGCTGCTTCAAACTTGCTGTACAAGTGAGACTAGCCTTGAATTTCCGATCCTCCTGCCTCTACCTCCCAAGTACTGGGATCATAGGTGGGCCAACATGCCTGGCATTCCACACTTTTTTTTTTTTGGAGCCGAGGCTCGAACCCAGGGCCTTTCGCTTACTAAGCAAGTGCTCTACCACTGAGCTAAATCCCCAACCCCACACTTTTTTTAAAAAAATTGTATGTATATGTGTGCCTGTATGTGTGCAAGTGCAGGTTCCTTGGAGTCCAGAAGAGGGTGCTAGATCCCTAGAGCTGTTATAGGTTGTTGTGCGCCGCCCCATGTGGTTGCTGGGTACTGAACTCACATCCTCTGCAAGAGCAGTAAATGCTCTGAGCCACTGAACCATCTCTCCAGCCCACCACACTTCTTTTAACCTCCAGATGTCTTGCTTGCTCTTTTTCTGCTCCTCGCTCCTCTCCGTCCTCTGCCCACACCTGGCTGTTCCTCCTCATCCCTGAGGCACACTAACTCCTCTTCATCCATGTCCTACAGTGGTGGGACAGACACCAACAGAGGAGCCATAAGAAACCTTCGCAGTGTTCAGAAGATGATGTGTGTTGGAGGTAGAGAGCAGAGTCCCAGGGCTATGGAGTGACTGAGGAGTGACTTACCTAGGTAGTCAGGGCTGGTCTTAGGAGGGAGCAGCCGAATAGGTAAGGCTGAGAGTTAGCTATTCTGATGCCTGTGTTTCAGGTAAAGAGAACAGGAAGTTAGGAGGCCCCGGGACAAGAATTGCTCCTGGGTAGCAGGGCCCCAAGTGGGGAGAGGTAAAGAAGGGTAAGTAGAGCCCTGTCCAATTCAGTCTGTACAGGCCTTTGAAGGCTGTTGTAAGAACAACTTTGACTGGAATCCTGGGAAGATTTTTTTTTCATTCTTACTGTGCTGGGGATGGAACCCAGGGCCTTTGCACATGCTGAGCAAGTGTTCTTCTATGAGCCACATCCCCAGGACTGGGAGTTGGGTAGGAAGGAAGGAGGTGTTGAGGAAGATACTCAGCAACCTGAAAGTTGGAAGAAAGATTTAGGGAGCGCAGTGAAAGCATGGCCTGCAAGTGTGGCCGGGAGTGGAGAAAGGTGCACCCCAGCTCAGCTCCAGCTCCGTGAAGGAGGGCTGCCAGGGGAAACAGCCATAGGGAAGGTAGCTGAATGTCTTTGCTTCCCTGCTAGGTGGGGACTAGACCACAGATACCCTCCCTGAGCCTGTGTGTGTGTGTGTGTGTGTGTGTGTGTGTATGGAGTGTCATAAACATTTGATTTAGTATTTAGTTGTCTCAAAAGCAATTGCCAGAACTGGTTGTGGTAGTTGTTAGCATTTGGGCATCAGTAAGATATGCCTAAAATCTCAGCACCAAGCATGGATGAGTTTGAGGCCAGCTTGGGCACCTTAGTGAGGCTCTTCCAGCAAAACAAGTGACTCTCCATAAAAAAATTTGCAAGTGTCAGACCTGCCAGAGCCATAGAGCTACTGGCCATTTCTGCAGTCAGCTCTCTCTGATCTAGCTCTCCTGCCTGCTTGCACCAGGCCCACTGGGCTGTGAGCATCCCTGGGGCAGGGACTGCAGTGCAATGCCTGGAACAGACTGCACAGTGGGAAGGGGAGAAGGCCATAAAATGGGAGAAGCAGCCAATACTGGCCTCTGGTCCAGACTGCAGCATCTGAGGAGGGCCCTTTAGGAACCCATTGAAAGATTAACCGCTCCGCCTGAGTTTCCCAAGCTGTAAAATGGGAATAGAACTGTTCCTACTTCACAGGGCTGCAGTAAGGGTACCTGAGTTCATGTGAACAGTGCTTAGAAACTGCCTGGCACAGAGGAGGTACCATGGAGGTCCTATGCCCTATTACTACCATAGTTGTGGTTATCATTGTTACTGTGAGTTGGCTCAGGATCTGCAGACCTGGGTTTCCATCAGTAGTAAAGGCCTTGAACATCCAGTGTTCTTGGATGGCAAACATGAGGTGTAGGTTAGACTCAGGATAGAAGTGACTTGAAGGCATTCCTTCCTTCCATACAACCATTCAAGATTTAAGGTAGGCAGTTAGGATTTAGAGCAGGGATTGGAAAACCACAGACATGGGCTAAATCCCTGTGGTTTTGCACTACCCCTGAACTAGGAATGCTTTTGTTGTTATGTTTTGAGGTTGTTTTTTTTTTTTTTTTTTTTTGGTTTTTCGAGACAGGGTTTCTCTGTGTAGCTTTGCGCCTTTCCTGGAACTCGCTTTGGAGACCAGGCTGGCCTCGAACTCATAGAGATCCACCTGGCTCTGCCTCCCGAGTGCTGGGATTAAAGGCGTGCGCCACCACCGCCCGGCTATGTTTTGAGGTTTTAAGGTCAGGACCCAGGGCCTCGAGCTTACTAGGCAAACACTATCACTGAAACACATCCCCAGACTTTTTTATGTTTGTTGAGACAAAATCTCACTGTGTTGCCCAGGCTGGCCTCAAACTCCTGGACATAAGCAACCCTCCTGCCTCAGACAGCCAACTATCGAGAAGCTGGGACTGTATAGATTTGCACCTCCCGGAACAATTTTTGTCTTTAAAGACAGGACTTTTCTGAGTAGCCCTGGCTGGCCTTGAACTCCTGTTTCTGCCTCCCAAGGGCTTGGATTAAAGATGTGGATTAAAGGTGTGTGCTACCACGCCTAGCTGGGAACAGTTTCTAATCTATTGAAATGATTGGTTGACAAAATCAAGGGAGCAAATTATTTTTTTTTGTTTGTTTGTTTGGTTTGGTTTGGGTTTTTTTGGAGACCAGGTTTCTCTGTGCAGCTCTGGCTGTCCTGAAACTCACTCTGTAGATCAGGCTGGCCTCTCACAGAGATCTGCCTCCGGTGTGCTGGGATTAAAGTGGTGTGCCACCACCGCCCAGCTTTTTTCTTAAACAAATAATATTTTATTAAAACAGGTAAAAATTGTATGAAATTCCTATTTCAGTGTTATTGAGTAAAGTGATGGTGGGCACAGTGGTGTTTTGGGGGGCATTTTGTCTGTGACCCCAACTATGAGCAAGCTGGGCTGTTGTTATAGAGGCCCTGATAGAACGCTTGGCCAGAGCAGGGCCAGGTGAGGACCCAGGCTGGAACTCTAGAATGTCTTTGCTCAAGGCTACAGCACAAGTCTGGGCAGGCCACTATGGAGACATGGCAGGTACAGTGGCCTACCCTGCCTGAGTGAGGGCAAAGCCTCACTGTTCTTGGAAGGGTATAGGACACCACCGTTTTTGTTTCTATTACTCTTTTCCACCTTGCCATGTTTTTTGTGTGTAAGGACATGTGTGGAGATCAGAAGAGAATTTCAGGAGTTGGTTTGGTTCTCTCCTTTTCTACTTTGTGGGTCTCAGGAACGGAACTGAAGTCATCAGGCTTCGTGGCAAGCACTTTTTCCTGGCTTGTCACCTCCTGGGCACTTCCGCCAGTTTTTTTTTTATTTTATTTTTGGTTTTTTGAGGCAGGGTTTCTCTGTGTAGCTTTGCGCCTTTTCCTGGATCTCGCTCTGTAGACCAGGCTGGCCTCGAACTCACAAAGATCCACCTGCCTCTGCCTCCCGAGTGCTGAGATTAAAGGCGTGCGCCACCACCGCCCGGCCACTTCCGCCAGTTTTAATGGAGTATGCTAGGCTGCTCCTTGAACTGTGAATTTTCCTATTCAGCCACACCCACTTACCTAGAAACCCCCTGGGTAAGGAATTTAAAGCTAAAGGTGCAAGACAACCTGTCTCTTCCCATCCTCCTACTCCGCTCTGTCTGGGGGGGTGGCATAAATGGGCAGGGCTGAGCATCCACCCAGAGAGAAGCCACCCATCCCTTCCCCTGAGGGATTGAGGCGGGTCTGGGCCACACCCACCCACCCTCTTTATCCAAGGAGTTCACAGAATCTCCAGGTTCTTTCCAGTAAATGCAAAGATGTTTCTAAAAATTCCACTCAGGGGCAGGAGATGCAGCTCAGGCTGTAGAGTGCCTGACTAGAGGGTGCACAGCACAGCCTTGGCTTCCAGTCTCAGCAACTCAAACTGCAGCTGGGAGGTGGAAGCAGGAGGACCAGAAGTTTAAGGCCAGCATTCCAGCTACCTGAGACCCTATCTCATCCATCAGTAAAGTCTCTTGACACAAATGGGTGTCATTTTGTTGCTGGGGTGCTTGGCCTTGCTGAGCACCTTTAGTGACTGCCATCCTCCATGCCACAGCACAGGCTCTCGGCAGAGGTGACAAGTGAGGAGGAAGAAAATGACTCCTCCAGACTGGGCCACTGGGTACTGTTGAAGGGGGCTAGGACACGAGATGGACAGACCTCGGGGTCAGGCGGGTTGGGTTTGCACTAGTCTTCATCACTGTGTGGCCTTGGGTAGGTTGCATACTGTCTCTGTGCCTTAGTTTCATCCCCTGTCAAATGAGGAACTTCCCCAATAATATGAACTGAGAACTAAATTAATGAATCCGAGAGAAGCCTCTAGCCCGACCTGCTCAGTGTCCTCCTTGATTGGTTGTTTTTTTGTTTTGTGAGGTGCTGTGGATGGAACCCAGGGCCTTGAGCGTGCTAAGCAAGGATTTTAACCCTGCTCATGAAAGCAGATCTGTTGGGGGAGGGAGCACGTGTGCCACACTGCCCAAGTATCCGTGCAGGGCAGAGGACAGCTTGTAGAGGTCATCTTCTCCTTCCCCCTTCACATGGACTCCAAGGTTCCCACTCAGGTCCTCAGGCTCCTACTGGAAGCTCCTGTACTGGCTGAGCAGTCTCACCAGCCCTTGGTGAAGGAAGTGGGCTGAGCTCCCACCAAGGCCACCTGGACATCTTCACCTTCCTGCCAGCACAGCACCTGAATGCTGAGGTTCCAGGGCTCAGGTCCAGTTGAAGTGACATTTCATTTTTCAGTGCAGATAGGGTGTACCACCAAGAGACTCAGGCGTGAGCCTTTTAGCTTCTGCCTTCCTTCTCTGTAAGATGGGGAGAACTCCACATCTGCCATACAGGAGCCAAGAAGCCAATGGCTGTTCACAGGACAAGGTGGAGTGCTCTCCTGTCTTGTCTGTTCTCATGGTGACTATGAGACAGGCTGTCCCTGTGTCACAGAGAAAGACACTGATGTGCCAGGGAATTGGGGAAATGGGTTCATGGTCATAAAAGGGGAACCCATCTAGCTGCTGAGTAGTCCCCCTGAGATACTCTGTAGATGGGCAATGATATTGTTCTGGCCAGGTGCTTTGAGCAGACCAGGCCAGGCCTTTCATGATGGTTCCCTCCTTACCTCTGGCTTTCTGTTACATGTCTGCAGCTGGGATCCTCAGTACTGGAGCTAAATTGCAGAGTTCTGCCCATTGACCTTTGAGAAAGGGAGGCAAACTTACCAACCTCCAAACCTGGGGGGGGGGGGGGGGGGAATTTTACCTCCTCCCAAGCTTTCCCTGCAGACACCTGGGTGTGGGCAGCAGGCAGTACCTAGCTCTGGACTCTGCCCCTGGGAGTGGTTCTGGGTCTTCACTGGTCTGAGCAGAGGGGGTACAGATGGCAGAAGTTAGGATGGCACACAGTACCCAGATCAAAGAAGCAGATCATCCACAATTCGCTTGCAGCTCACAGAGCATGTCTACATTCCGATGTGACCTTCACACAGGTGCGTTAGTATGCAGGGTAGGTGAGACTCTTCATGAAGGGAGGAAACTAACGTGGAGTTTAAGTAAGGGTGGCTGGGCAAGGCAAGAGTTGCACACCCTGATGGACTCCGGGGGCTAAACCCAAACTTCTGGCCTCAGGGCTTAACAGTCTTGTCAACCTGAGAGAACTGACGTCTCTGAACACCTGTGTAGCTGTTGTCTCCCCACTTCCCCATTTGTGAGAAGTGACTACACATTCTCCTGTAGTGGAGACTGGTTTTGAACTCCTCAACCCCCTGCTTCCAGCTCACCATTTCTGGGATTATAAATATGAACCATGCCCAGGACAAGCCTCTATGTTTGGTCTGTAGAACCAGGTGGTGAGGATAGTTTAGCACATAAATGCTCGTCTCAGAAAAGAAAAAAAAAATCCACAGTTCTGGACACTGTCTCCAAAAAAAAAAAGGTGCAATACGGAATGCAGAGAGTTCTTGTTCTCCGCAAAGAACAGAACACCTCCCTAGTCAGGGGTTGCTATGAGACCATGTGAGTTACCTCTTATTCCTCTACTTTGTGAAAGGCACAGTAGAAAGTCTTTTTGTACACTAAAGTCGTCCTTCATTCCTGGCACTCGACAAGGATTTGTGGAAGTTAACTCGATTTCTCACAAAAACCCTCTTAGCTCCCTCCATTCGCAAAAGAGGGACTGGGGCTATTGGAAGGCGAGTGTGAAGGGCAGGTCGAAATTCACACCTCTTCCATCCCGACTCCTGCAGGCGTTGGGGCTATGGAGACCCGGAGTCGCCACAGTTCGTACCCCGCGGGGACCGAGGAGGATGAAGGGATGGAGGAGGAGCTCAGCCCCTTTCGGGGCCGCTCGCGTTCGGCTCCCCCCAACCTCTGGGCCGCGCAGCGTTACGGCCGCGAACTCAGAAGGATGAGCGACGAGTTTGAGGGTTCCTTCAAGGTGAGCACCTGCATAGGGTGCGACCGGACCTATACCCACCTTCCCCTTCTGCTATCTAGGGCATGTCGGGATTTGTAGTTTCAGGCCCGCCAGGTTTTTCCCTTTCGTGTTTCAGGGCATGCCGGGACTTGCAGTTCTAGTCCCTTCTTTGTCCCTTGTGTTCTGTGACTTGCAGTCCAAGGATTTCCTCCCTCTTCCTTCTTTGTCCGAAACCCCGCCCCCAGTTCCGGGACTTGTCGGCACCTGTAGTCCAGAGTTCTTTTACAGCTAGACCGCTAAGAGAACCAAGGTTTTCTGTGATCTGTACTACAGACTCATTTCAGGCCAAAGTTCCTGAGTCCCCGAGGTTCCGAGGGCTCGAAGCTTGCTAGTATCTGAACGTCTCCCCAACTTGTGAGCCACTTTAAATTCTTGAATTCAGCCCCATCCTCTTAAGACCTCTGGCTCTGAGGTTTCATTTAGGGTCCCAGCAGTTTGTCGGCTCCAACCAATCCGGATTCCCGAGAGCCCACTCATCTTCTAGCGCCCTTGACCGCTCAGTGCAGAGCAAGCTGGTGACGGTGGTCTTTACATTTCTACTCAGAATGTGAGGACTTGATTCGGGATGCCAGGGTGAGGCTCATTCATTTAACTCTTTACTCCTTCCCTAAAGGGACTTCCTCGCCCAAAGAGCGCGGGGACTGCAACACAGATGCGACAAAGCGCCAGCTGGACGCGCATTATCCAGTCCTGGTGGGATCGAAACTTGGGCAAAGGAGGCTCCACCCCCTCCCAGTGATCTTCTGCTCCACATTCCCAGAACTCTACCGGCTCCCGACGCCCGCCATATTGGGTGTGGGCGGAAGCCTTCCGAAGACTTAGGGATAAAAAGAGGATCGCTGTGTCCCTTTAACAGGGAGAAGAGCTGGCCAACAGCATGAGTCCCTTCTGGTGCGTGCAATAGCCACGAAGGGGTGGTTCTCGTTGGAAGTTTCAAAGTTTCCGCCTCCCCCACCTCAGCTTCCGGAAGTGACTTTTCCCCTCTCGGTTACCGGGCTGCCCTCAGGCGCCTGCGCCAAGTTGAGAGTCGGGGTATAAAACCGTGACTTGGCTGTAGCCCTATCATTCGAACTGGGAGCCCGTGGTCACTACGTGCTTTACAATAAAGCCCGCGCCTGTGCTGCCGCAACTCTGTCCTTCGTTTGGGGTTCCGCAAACCGGATTATTTATTATTCCTGATAGTTTTAAGAGACTCCTTTTATCCATAAGGGAAACAGGCTCTAAGGACTGAGACCAAGAAGTTGAAGCGACCAGCGGAGCCGGGCTGCTAGGCTTGGGGGGTGAGGGAGCGGATCATGGCTAGACCCCTGGAACTGCCAGGCCTTATCTCTAATATGGTAATTGGGAGCTGCAGCCCAGACGGCCGCTGGAATTCAGCGTTCTGCAAACCATGCCGCGGCTCCCCCGGGGCGGGGGGGCGGGGGTCATTTGCTCCTATTTGGGTCAGTCCTTGTGAGCAGCTACTGTGTGACCGGCCTGGGGCCAGCGCTGCTCGGGGACCTGGCAGGGCACGCGGGGCGGGGCGGCACGATCGCTAGGGAACGTAGAAGCTTCTCATGGGGACCTGGAGCAGGGCCCAGAGCTCAGTTCTGAGATTTATTGACGCCCGTATAGCCCAGGCCAGTGCTTTGGGCTGGATATGCAGATAAGTTGCGCCACAACCCTGCTTCCCGGAACATGGGAGGGGGCGGCCCCCACGGCAGGGCCTCAAGGAGTAGGTCAGACTTGAAGGTGAGGCTGTGTCTGGGACTGCCACTCTCAGGACATACCAGGATGTTGGGAGTTAGCTTGTTTTTGAGGACCCCAGGCAAAATGGAGGTCAGCCAGTCAGCAATGGACATGGATAACAGCAAAGTGGGAGATCTGGAAACAGGACTCGGTCTGACAGCTGAAGGAGGTGGCTTGGGCAATGGTAGGAATCTCAGAGAGCAGAGGCCTTAACCCTGGGAAGCCCAACCCTGGCCACCCAGTTTCTCTGGCCTTCCTACCCGATCAGTTTGCCTGGGGCTGCAACAAAAACAAAGAAAGCAAACACTTCATTGGCAGGAGATAAGCCCAGATAAGAGGCCGCCTTCCTCCGGAGGGAGCAGCCAGTCCCCAGCCGCCAGGAAGCTGGGAGAGGCCTTGAAGAAGTGCCAGTCTGCCTCAGCCGCAGGGCCTGGCCCATTCTCTTGCCACAGGGTCTCTGGTGTTCCTGGCTGGTCCCAGGCTCGTAGCAGGTCTTCCAGGCTGGTGAAGACCATCTAGCAGAGCCAGCGTGCAGGCCATCCTGCCTCCTGGCAGGTCTCCACTTAGCTACGGCCCAGTACACGCAGCTTCCATTCAGGGCCTGTTTCTGTATCTGTAAAACAGGCAAAACATCTCCCTCACGGGTGAGGGGGCCACAAGGTATCCACAGAGTATCACAGCCCCTGCCAGCAGCAACCCTTCAGACTGCCAGCTTCCTTTATCCTAAGAGCCATGGATCCTGTCCCAATCTGACAACTCAGTTCCAGCTAGCCACTCCATCCCTGTGTGGTGCCCTCAGTGGCCCTGGCAGAAGATGCTAGGTGCTTGGGTCATATCAGGCAACAGGAAGGGGGGCAGGGAAGGCTTCCTGAAGCAGGGTCTGAGCCTGAGCAAAGAGACTAATGGGGGGGGGGGAGCTAGGGGCTCAGGGCAGAGGCCGCAAGCTCAGAACCACCTCTGGCAGGGAATAAGGTGCCTTGGGCAAGGCAGCCAAGCTCAAACCTTGAAACTTTGCTAGGGGTCTGACCACCATAGCACAACCCCATTTTATTTATTTTTTATTTTTTATTTTTTTTGGTTTTTCGAGACAGGGTTTCTCTGTGTAGCTTTGCGCCTTTCCTGGAACTCACTTGGTAGCCCAGGCTGGCCTCGAACTCACAGAGATCCGCCTGGCTCTGCCTCCCGAGTGCTGGGATTAAAGGCGTGCGCCACCACCGCCCGGCTCCCATTTTATAAATAGGGAGACTGAGGCCCCAGAGGAAATGGCAGGACCAGAGCTAGAGCCTAGAATGTTTTCATCCAAACCACACTGTACACAGGGTCCCTGAAGTCCACTTTTATTCATGTAAAAAAAAAATCCCTAAATATAAAGGGTTGGCCTTTACTTCCCAGAGCTGCAGGGCCCCTCCTACTGCTCCCTGGGAGTGCTGCAGGTACATGCTCTGGCCCTTGTCCTGGGCCTGAGGTTAGAAGGGGAAGCTAAGGACTGAAGAGGCCCCAGAAGATGGAGTTAGTGTGAGACATCTGCCTGATTTTAAAAAAATAAAATTTCTAAAGATAAAAGGTTAAAAAAAAAAAAAGCATTAGTGTCTTCTAGCCATTACCCGATGCTTGCCCACGTCCTGTGGCCGCCTCTTTTTTTTTTTTTTTTTTTCTTCAAGACAGGGTTTCTCCGTGTAGTTTTGGTGCCTGTCCTGGATCTCGCTCTGTAGCCCAGGCTGGCCTCAAACTCACAGATATCTATACCCCTGGCTCTGCCTCCCGAGTGCTGGGATTAAAGGCGTGCTCCCCTGTTGCCCGGCCCTGTGGCCACCTCTTGCTCAGCCAGTTTAGAGCTGGGTGTTCTCCTCCTGGCTCTCCGAGTCAGCGCCAGACAGGTGCCCGCCACTCCCAGGTGCATGACCATTGCTGGCACAAGCCACCAGGGGGCCGTCCCCAAGCCCTTCCGATGTCTCGCCCAGCAGGCATCGGCGGATCTCCTGGGGCAACCTCTCTCGCTGTTCTTGACACTCCTGGGTCAGCTGGGCCAGCAGCTGCAAGAGAAATGAATGTCCCAGGGGGGCCAGGCTGCCCAGCTCCTGCCCGCCCGCCCGCCTCCTGTCAGGCCTTACCTTGGGCTCCTCTTCCACTAGCTGCTGGAGGACTTGCTGCTGCCCTGCCAGGAGGCGCTCATGGCGCTGCTTCTGGGCCTCTTCTAGCTGTAAGGGAGGGCAAGAGTTAGCTGAGGGAGGGGCAAGACCTGGAGGCACTGAAATCAGGGAGAGGGGGATCAGGGCTCCCAAGGACACTGAAGGTGTTAGATATGATGCAGGCACCAGAGGCTGTTGGTACAGTCCCCGGAGGAAAGGCCTTTGGGACAGCAATGTGGCACCAAGCCAGGCATGGAAGAGCTGAGTTTTTGATGAGTAAAGGAAGAGAGGTCGGGCTCACTCACCCGTCTGATGGAGTTGACTGACTCAGTGATATGCCGCCGATTAATCTCTGTCAGCTCCCTGCAGAGGTGAAAGGGATGGTTCAGTGCCCAGGCCCCCCCCCACCCCCCCACCCCCACCCCGGCCCTGGCCTCCCCTCACTCAATGGCTCCCAGCCCCGACACACTTACACCTCCTTCTTATGTTTCTCCCTTGTCTTGGCCTCTGAGATACTGTTGTTGCGCTTCCTGTCCAGGATCTTCTGAAGCTCCTTCTTCTCCCTGGAGCAGCCAGGAGGGACAGGAGGGGTTCAGAGGCAGGACTCCTGGCACCAGAGTCCCACTGCACTCACGCAGGACCCTCTACCTTTACCTTTCATTCAGCTCCTTCAGTCTCTTGAACTGGGTTGTGTGTGCATCCAGGACAACCTCCCTGAGCCGCTGCTGACCCTGGGGACACAGGCAGCCAGCTAGCAGGTAACACAGGGCTGACGGGTCTACCCAGGAAGCTGGCTCTCCTTGCCTCCACCACAGGCCCCTCACCTGTCTCAGGTGCTCCAGCCTCCGTTCAGTTTCTGCATCTGCCTGGGCCTCCCTCAGCTCCAGCAGGCTCTGCACCTGTCGGTTCTGGAACTCTCGATACTGCTTGGCCTCCTCTTCCTCCTCCTTAATGTCCTCCACATTGGTAGCTCTGCCTCTGTAGGAAGAACCTTCTCAATAATGCTAGGTTCCTGGCATCGGAGGACAGTTAGAGCAGGGCTCATGCCAGCAGGCAGTGGCAGGCACCAGCCAGGTGAGGTCTGCTATGCAAATCAAGAGGACCAGCACGGGCCAGCAGCTGTACCGTTAGCTCCACACAAGTGATAAGTTCCTGCTTCTTGGCAGAGGACTTCAGAGGAGGTGTTACTACCAGGGAAGAGTGAGGACCAGTATGGGAGTCCACCTCCACCGTCCTGTTATCCGAGTATGCCCATCCAGCATGGACAGCCACATGCACACCTCCCTCCAGTATTCCTGTCAGCACACAACACAGGCGGCAACAGGCTATGGGGCACTCACGGAGCACTAGGGGAGGGCCGGCACCTGCCCTCAGCCCTGGCCTGAGCCAAGCCATCCAGCAGGCGGCGGGTGAGGGCCACAGCCTTGCGCTGGTGCTTTTTATGCAGCTCCCTCAGGTCTCGATCCTGCCGGCTCCGGAGCTTCACCATAGACTTGTGGTTTCGGAGCTCCTCCAGAGGGGTAGGAGTCACCTCTGCAAGGGAGAGGTGTAGGTAGCAGGCAAAGGAGGTGGGGTAGCAGGCAAGGTGGGCTGAGCAGGGCTGAGCTGGGCGGGGTAGATGCCCTCCAGGTGGCCCCACCCCAGATCAGGCTGTGCCCCTTACCAGAGAGGATGCTGGCAATCAAATCATCTCGCTGCCCTGGAGAGCAGAGGCTCTGGTGAGAAGCTGGGGAGCCCGGCAGCCGATGGCTTCCCGTGGCCCACTCCTAGGACAGGCTTCCCCTTACCTGGGCTACTGAGGGAGGTGCTAGTGGAGGAGGTGGTAGGACCCGGGGGCCATCGAGGTGAAGCATCCAGTGGGTTAGGTGTGGGGTTGGGCAAGAGCTGTGACCCTGGCTGTGGAGACTGCGTCTCCTGATATGTCTCTGTGCTGGTCTGAGCCTGCAAGAGAGAACACTCCTTCCAAAACTGTTTTCTTCATCTCTGGGTCCTTCCACCTCTGGATGCCCTATGCCCCTACCAGCTCCCTCTGCCTGCACAATGAAGAGAGAGACAGTAGGCACCCCTAGACCCTTGTCCATGCCGGGAAGGCTGTGTGTTACCAGATCATTGCATGTCCTCAACAACTCCCAGATGATTCTGGAAAAGCCTGGCTTGGCCCCAAGAGTCCTCCAGTATGTCCCTCCCACCCTGGCCTGCTGGTTCGTCTTCCTCCTGGATGCTCAGCTCCTGATTTAATCAGCAAAGGAAGCAACAGCAGAACGGGCACCAG